CGTGTGGGATGGCCTCGGCCGTGTGGGATGGCCTCGGCCTCGTCTGTGGCAGAGCCCAGAGGGGCCCTGAGGGGTGTCCTGATGTCCCTCCCGGCCCTGGGCCGTGTCCTCGCGCTCCAGGAGGGTCTGGAGGGACGTCCTCGTGTGTGACAAGGACCGAGGGGGACGAGGGGCTGGAGGGACACGAGGGACATCACGACGTCCATCCTGACTTTGTCTTGTGTCACTGTGTGGGACAAGGGCCGGGGGGATCCAGCCTGGGTCCCTCCCCCGTGTCCCTTGTCCCCCCCGGTGGCCCTTGGGGACATTGAAGCTGGTTCAGGTCCCTCCTGGTGTCCCTCGTCCCCCCTGATGGCCTTTGACCACCCTTGGGGACATCAGGGCAGGTTTGTGTCCCTCTCCATTGTCCCTTGTCCCTCTTGGTAGCCCCTGCCCACCCTTGGGGACACTGGAGGTGCTTTGGGGTCCTCCCTGATGTCCCCAAGGGTGGCCGAGGGCCATCAGAGCTGGGTTGTGTCCCCCCCCCCACGTCCCTTGTCCCTCCTGGTGGCCCTTGAGGACGTCGAAGCTGGTTCAGGTCCCCCCCATGTCCCTTGTCCCTCCTGGTGGCCCTTGGGGACATCAGAGCCGGTTGGATCCCTCTCCGGTGTCCCTTGTCCCTCCTGCTGTCCCTTGTCCTCCCTTGGGGACACTGGAGCCTGTCTGGGTCCCTCAGCCCTGTCCCTCGTCCCTCCCGGTGGCCTCTGCCCTCCCTTGGGGACACCGGGGTCCCCTCATGTCCCCCACCTCCCCTTGGCCCTGCTGGTGTCCCCCAGCCACCCCTGGGGACACCGGGGCTGGTTTGTGTCCCCTCAGCTCTGTCCTTGCCCCGCGGTGGCCCTTGGGGACACTCCTGGCACTATAAACCGTCTCTTGTCCCTCTGGTGGCTTTGGCTCTTCTCAGGGGGTGATTGGGGACATCTTGGGGGGGGCTTTGGGTCCCCAACATGTCCTCTGTCCCTCCTGGGCCCCCCTGGGGACACCTGCCCCCCCTGTGG